GATTAGAGACCTAAGGTTTAGATAAGAACAGCAGGGGAGTCCTGCTTTGGAAAGTTTATTTACAAGTGGAGACAAATGAATGCAGGAATGAGTGTTTATCTCTGCACGGTGCCCTTCACCTGGATCCTGAACTTTTGCATGGCTCTAATGGGCAATTCCTCATGTTTTACAGCTCTGTCTGAGGTTACAGCTTTTCATTGACAGCTTACCATGTTTTACGACCCTGTTTCAAGGCTATCTTCCTCTTCATTCCCCCCTTTTGATGCTTTTTCCACTTGTGGACAAGCATCAACACTAGACTTTAGAAATCTTATAAGGTTTTCTTGTCCCAAAGACCTACATTGTGTTACCAGGAGCTGTAACTTTATCACCTCCATTTGCGAGCTGATGAAGTTAATTATGGCGTTAAGAAGGCACATACCAAACACAAGTGTCAATAGAAGCATAAGGAGAGGGCCAGACAATGGAATCAGCCGTATCTCAGATATGACTTTACATAAAACAACACTCTGTGTTTAAGAAAAGTCAAAGCCCTCCTTTTTGGTAGTGAGTAAATCCAACCCTGTCTGGTTTTGGGGGACCACTGATGCTAGAGTTCAGCTGGCCCTGCATGGTCACTATAGACCTAGCCACTCATTTTATGTCATTTGTTAGGTCCACAGATAATTGATTATAGTAGGTGGCTGATGAGGCAGTCCCTCCTATGTCTGTTCCTTTCCCAGTCATTATCCCCAGTCCGATTAATAAAGGTATGACTTGGATAGCTCTCTTTGACTGCACATGAGCCATTAAAGGTGGAGGGGGCTGACTGTTAGGCACTATGTTTATCTGGGGTGATGAATGCTAATGTGCAAATGTCCTTCCAGTCAGCTGGCAAGTACTGGTAAGCAAGGGTCCCTCAAACAAGGAAGATTCCCAGGCTGGTTCACCATAGCCTGTCAACTGTACATCTAATGGCAGTAACTGTACAGTTGAGATTCCAAGTGAAGGTTTCCTGTCCTAAAAGGAAGCCTTAATGGGGGTCATGGTGGAGGCAGATCAATGTCTTTTACTGACCCAGGTCCACCTAGGTAATCACCTCTGGTGGCCTCTCTAGATCTGTGGCTCCCCCCCTTAGTAAACTGATATGGGGGTGGGGTGGAAGGGTAGGGTGACACAAGGAGATTTATTTCCTCCCCTGTTCCATGACTTTAAGGGGTCCCTGTCTTTCTGCCAGCAAACCATCTGCCCTAAAGTGCCTTTGTTTTTGCAACCCAGTTAGGCCTATCAGCTTTCTTTATAGTACATTTTCCCTTCCCTGATGCATTCAGAAATTAATATGCTGCACACGGGTGACAGATATTGGTAAAAGGTGAAAGCATACCACAGTTTTCCCTGGAAGGAAAGTGGCTTTAGACAAGCTGAGCAGTCATCCTGGCCTCTGGATTGAACAAAATTAAAATGCAGTAGAGTCAGAAGACAATAACACATCAGAGACCTCAAGCCTGAGACTGGGGTCTGGGCTACAGAAAACACTGAACAGCAGTAAGGCTTCCTACTATGAGGAGGTAACAGAAGGCCAGCAGTAATCTCTGGTCTATGCTCCAATCCTGGGGAGCAGTGACAGCCAGTCCTAGTGCGAACAGATTGCAGCAATGCTCAGCAGGACAAGGTATGGGTGACAGAGAAGAGGACACATTTGTGTCCTGGTGGACGAATCCTCAGGCTTCCGCCATGCACTGACCAACCAGCTTCTGGGATGCGGCTAGGGCAGGGCTGGAGATCTCTCCAGTGATGGCGTGCTGTTGTGACGGTCTCTGGAACCTTAATCTGAGGGGGGTTAGTGGAGTCATGACAGCCTGTCAGATGTTGGGCTCTGCAGGGGCGGCTGTCTTTTTATATAGGAGTGATGAATCCCGGGAGTGACACCTGCAACTTTTACAGCCGTAAGAGCTGCTGACTTTACTAGATGGGGACCCGTACAACTGGGTTGGAGTAGTTTCTTTTTAATCTTTTATGTATCATCTAACCCTTTTTTTTTAAACTGAGTAGAATTACCTTGGCAACAATATACTGTCAGTATATATGTCCAAGAAAACTCGTTATTTTTTTTTAAGTAAAAAACACCATCTTTAAGTATTAAAGGACATGTTTAGAGCCAGTAAAAATAGTTATTTTGTCTCTATTTTAGTAGAAGACCCTATCTAAAAAATATGAGTTTGTATCTCGAAGATCTTTAATGTCAGATAGCCACACATGCATAAGAACCATCTCTTTAATCCTCTCGGCCTTGGTTATCTTTGACAGGTCTGGCACCAATGACTCCATTGGAACTTTGATGGTATTCCCCTCTTTGTCTCCAAATTGCTAGTCTCTGAACAGTCTCTCCTGAAGATCTGTCTCTCATCCAAGTAATAACCAGGCCTGTCTCTGCTTAGCTTCCAAGATCAGATGAGATTGGGCGAGTTCAGGGTGGTATGTCTGTAGACTGAAGATCTTTCTTGATTGGCTGCTTTTTCCTGGATTCTGTTTGTTTGGTTTCAGTCCCACATTGGGAGGGAATAATGAGCAGATCAGGCAGGAGTCAGTGCCAATTAGGCTCTTTTGGCCAAATTTAAGCAACAAAGAGGCTTAGAATGAATGGCTCTTAGGCAGTGGACTTTAGACAAGGACAATACAAAACAGAACCTAACAAAAGCAGATGGACTTGATTGCAAATATCCCAGGAGGATCAGAACTGAAATGACAAAAACTTAAAAGAGCCATGGTTAAAATTTTGATGTACAATTTAGCAACTAACAGAACAGTACATCAGTACCGCTAACTTTTTGTTACCATGTTTATCTAAATTTTGTATTGTAGAAGGCTTGATATACTTGAAAAATACAAATATATTTAATACACAGGAACCAGCAACAGCATCACAACTCTATAGAGGTTAATACACATATTAATTTAGTTGTTGCTCTTGAAGTAAAATTTTAGATTTTTATCAGTTGTAGGGGGAATGAACAGTTTTAGTAAACCCAAACAGCCTAGTCACAAACTAGCCCAGGGTACCAACTATATTAGAATCACCCAAGACAACAGTTGTTTAACCATGAGGTCATCTAGAAAATTTTATATAACTGTTAGAAAATAAGAGACATGGAATAGGCACAGAGACAGCTCAAACACTGGTACAGGGTTTATTATTTAAGCAGGAGCTCAGTGGAGGGGGAACCCAGCAAGAGAGCAAGAGCCCATTGCCATACCAGGCTTGGGCTAGACATAGGGGGCTGGTGGAAAAGTATCAGGAAGGTCACTGTCTGCCCAACTGTCCCTGGCATATATCCAGGATGACAAAGGTGAGCCATCTGCAAGGTGGGAGGAGGTCTGGTCCTAATATGGCTGTTCTTGTTAGCCCCAACATAAACCAACTCCTAAATGAACATGACTCAGTTACCTTAGTAGTTGAAACCCCAACAAAAATCACCAGAGAACACAGGTAAATAATTATGGGGACTAAGTGTAGAGTTAGGAAACATAGTGGCCAAGAATCATGGTTCAGATATTGATAAGGGATCACATTCCAGGTTGTTGACATTAACGAATGTCTCATGACATACAGCAGGATCCCAGCAACCAGTAGTCAATGGAGCCCCCCTAAAATAACAGGCCCAATCTGGTCATCCCAGGGAAAAATTCCCTCCACCTGCCATGTGGAAGGAGTAGAACTAATATCCCCACTCTGTGTGTCTAATAAAAACTGGAGATCTTGAGTTCCAGTGTAGTGTTCCTTTTGAAGTTTTTTATTTATTTATTTATTTATTTATATCCTATCTGGAGGGCGCACTTTGGCTTTACATAAGTAAATCTGTCTTAACCCTCATATCAGTGCAGCAGTACTCCCTGTGTTCAGCTGCCTCTTGTCTCTCTTTGTTTTAATAAACTCTTGTTATCTTGACAAATTTATGGATTAACCTGTAGTATCAAAAATTTCTGAGTTATCTTGACAAAACAAAACCATTATAAGACAATTTTTTTGGTAAATGTTATCTAGACCAATATAGTATTTTTAAGGTAGCCTTGTTATGAGCTTAAAGAATTAAGTTTTAGTTTAACATCAGTACATTAAATTTTGATCTTATAAAACCTTTAATGTAACTGTATTTTAGTTAACTTAATCAGTTATATACCATCTATAAGCTGTATCATTTTATGACAATTTACTCTGTTTCTTTGTGACAATTTATTTTGTATCCTCTGGGGAGCTGGTCTTTATCCTCCTCTTTATCTAGAAGTATTTTTTTAACCCTTTATTTATTTTGGAAAAACCATATCCTTAGTACCTTTTATATATTTTTGTTACTTGTTGAAAATAACTCATAAAATCTTTTAACTTAGAGCTTTACATTTGTATGAAAAAAAATAAGAAAGAAAGCAACACTGAAATTATTTTTGTATAAAAGTAATTTATAGAAAGCTCATTTGTTAATAGAAAGAATTTGTTAATTAAGAGAGAATTAAATCCCAGATTTTATTTATAACAGAATGAATCAGGCTAAGGTCATTTTAACTACCTAAATTTTAAGATTTTTGTTGTAGACTGTAGCCCTTTTTTTTTTTCCCTTTCGGGCTGAGCCAGAGTGTTAACCCCTGAATGTCTGCATCCTAGTGAGACCTGATTGAAATAAGTTTGAAAACCTATTTTTGTTGTTTAAGGTAGCAGTAGAACAGAGTAATAACTTTTACGTTTACTCTGTAATAAGAATCATCCTTAAGATGTTTGCATATTTAAATGTAAAAGCCTACGCAGTTTATAACAAAGATCTTTAAAACAAATACCCTGGTTTTTGTTACCTTGAGTATCACATTAACCTTATAGTAGCAATTTAAGAACGATTTTGAAGATGTTTACAGCCCTCCTCCCACCCGCCTGCTTGGCGGTGGAGGTGGCGGCAGTGGCAGCGGTGTTCCTGCCTCTCCGCCACCTCCACCGCAGCCTATTCCCTGGCCGGCGGCGTTGGTGGGGAGGGGGACAGTAGTTGTAGACGCCCGCCCCTGCCTCAGAGAAGAGATAACCACATTCAATGAATAAATACAGCTTTTTATACAAGGCATCTGTGGAGTAATGCTACAGTTTGAGTAGTGAAAGACTTCACATTATGAGGTGAATGGGAGTAGAGTATTGGACAAAAAAAATAAATGTTGTAATCTCTGCATCATGGTGTCTTAGCTTCCTGGTTGTTGCACAGGCTCACTATTTGCAGATGGTTCATATAGAGAAACTAAAGCAATTAATGGGTGAATATGATCAGATTTCTCCACCAAGTCCTTGGCCTGATAAGGAGAATCCCTTTTTGTCAACCTAATGAAGCATTCAAAGAAGTCATCTGACTCTTTTCAAGATGAACTCGAAGATTATATTAAAGTACAGAAAGCCAGAGGCTTAGAGCCAAAGACTTGTTTCAGAAAAATGAGAGAGGACTATTTGGAAACCTGTGGGTACAGAGAAGAGGTTGATTCCAGACACAGGTATAGAATGTTTGATCAAAGACTCCCATCTGGAACTATGCAGACCTACCCAAGATCATGCAATATTTCACAAAAAGTAGAAAACCGTTTGCCTCGGTGGTTACCAACTCATGACAGCAAGCTGAGACTAGACTCTCTGGGCTACTGTCAATTCACCAGGGACTGTTTCTCAGAAAAACCAGTGCCCCTGAACCTTAGTCAACAAGAATATAATTGTGGTTCATACAATGTAGAATCCGGAGTTCACAAGCACCTCTCCTTAGAACACAGTACCAGTGCCCCTCAAACCAGTCGTAAACAGATACATCAGAAGAGGAAAAGGCACCCAGAGGAAGGCAGAGAAAAAACAGAGGACGAACGGCCCAAGCATAAGAATAAAAGAAGTTCTGAGGAAATGGATTCAGACAAACATAAGAGCATCCAAAGTAAAAAAACAAAGGTGGAAACAGAAACTGTACAGGTCAGTACAGAAAAGCTTAAGGATCGAAAGGAGAAAAAAAACCGAGGTGCATCCTCTAAGAAAGAGGACCGTAAGCATAGAAAAGAGAAAAAGGAACATGGCAAAGAAAGTACAGAGGAGGAAATGCTTTGGGACCAGTCTATCCTTGGATTTTGAAGTTAAATTGAAAAAAATAGTTGGAACCTGGTTATATGATGTTCATGTTCTTACCACTTTTCTTATGTGAGCAGATACTTTTAATTTCTAACAAAGGCCAAGTGAACATGAAGTATTTAGTATACTTGCTCTTCACCATGAAAATTACTTTTCCTCATTTTCCAAAAGAATTACTACGTTTTTCTTATATATAATCTAATTTCCCTTTATGAGAGTGGCTCTTACTTATCAAATTGCTGTGATGGTGAAATTATTTTCCCCTGGTAGATGATTTATTTTAAATTGGAGGATTTGTAGACTGCAGAATCTGTTTCTTTTTTGGGTTTGTTTTAATTTTGAGTCAAGATTTTTTTAGTTCATTAGGTTTCTCTATGATGCAATTTAGGTTTTTTTTTTTTCCTTTGTTCTAACTTGCAATGTGTTTTCTAGGTTGAAAAGTGAAATACATTATAATAATAATAAGCTTATATTACATATAGTTTTAAAAGTTTCAAAGAGTCTTCATACAAAATCAGTTTATATTCTGAAAATGTTTATAATAAAGTGTTCTAATTTCTGCAAAAAAAAAAGATGTTTACATACTCACACAAAAAGTTTTATAAATTAAGCATGACAGAAAAAATGTCAACTTAAGTGCGCATAAAATGAGCTGGAATTCCAGAAGCAGATTAAATTTTGCCCATGCTTTAAACAAATTCACACACACACACACACACACACACACACACACACACACATTCACACTGAAGTTATAACAGTTTCTTTCCCCTCTCTGGGAGAAGTCCCTGACCTGTGGAACTCCTCGTGTAGATTCCTGGGCATGGATCAAGCTCCTCTTCTATCCAGCAGGATGGGACCTAACTTAAGACTGATTTCCTGGGGGTGGTGCTTACCGAGTCCGGACCTTGACCCAAGCTGGGTCAAGACTGCTCAGAGAGTTGGGGCATGGGGCGAAGGAGGACCTGGAATACCATCGGGTGGCACACCACCTCCTTCAGTCCTGTGTCCCTCCCTACCCCAATGCAGCCTAGCCGCCAGCTGGTGACACAAGGGGCCAGTAGGTTGGAATCTCGCTGGGGCCTCCAAATGTTGTGGCAACATAGTCAGAGGAGAAACCAAGTGACACTCGGAGGAGTGGAGAACTCAGATTTTAATTTTACGCTAGCGGGCCCAGACGTGTACCTGTGTCTGAGCACTGAACAAAAGATTCACAAGATATTTAAAAGACAGTGCAGGGCATCAGGTTACAAGGAATGTGCTCTCCCATAAATTAGGGGCTAGTAGTGGATTAGAGACCTAAAGTTTAGATAAGAACAGCAGGGGAGGCCTGCTTTGGAAAGTTTATTTACAAGTGGAGAGAAATGAATGCAGGAATGAGTGTTTATCTCTGCATGGTGCCCTTCACCTGGATCCTGAACTTTTGCATGGCTCTAATGGGCAATTCCTCATGTTTTATGGCTCTGTCTGAGGTTACAGCTTTTCATTGACAGCTTACCATGTTTTATGACCCTGTTTCAAGGCTATCTTCCTCTTCAGTATGGTCATGGACCACCGCCTAGCCCTAGATTTTCTTTTGGCCAAACAAGGTGGGTTATGTGCCATCACCAATACCTCCTGTTGCACATATATAAACACTTCAGGCATTGTAGAGGAATGTGCAGATTACATTCTCCAACAGGCTAAATGGCTCTGGGAGCAATCTCTTGAAACTCAGGTTTCTGCACAGGTATGGAACCAAGTAAAATCCTGGCTTCCCTCCATGACTTGATTCCTACCTTTTCTGGGGCCTATAGTTGCCATTATTCTCTTGCTTGTGTTTGGGCCTTGCATTTTAAACTTACTTGTCAAGTTTGTTTCTTCTCACCTAGAATCCATCAACTACAAATGCCTCTGATGGAGATGAAAATGACCTACTACCATGGTCCCCTTGACAACCCCCTTATGGTCAGCCCTGATATTGTGGGCCCTTTCATCGCCTCCTGTCAGCAGACTTCATCATCCCTATTCCTAACAGCAGTTAAGATGGTCACTGAGAGGGGGGACTTGAAGGACAGACCAGGGGAGGTCAAGGGGACACTTCTCCCTAGGGAATGCCCGTCTGCATCTGAAAGGCACCTCCGCCCTCAGGCAATGCAAAAAAGCTATAAAATCCACTCCCCACCCTGACTCACTGGGATCACTGGTTTCCGGGTCCCCCCCCACCCCGCATTCCCCAATATGCAGTCTTTCTCTTCTCTTCTCTACAAATAAAATCTTTCCAACCTCTGCTGTTGGAGTCTGTCTGTGCTTTCATTCTCAGAGCAGGTTCAAGAACCCTGAGCACCTGAAATTCCTGCAAGTGTCATCTGTGCATCACTTTCATATCTGACATTCTTTCATTTTTAGCTCCTGAATCTGGTTTAATTTTTGGTATATATTTGTCTGGAATTCTTTTGTCATCTTATCCCATCTATCCTGTCTTAGTTGTATGTTTGAATTTATGTCTTGTATGTGAAGTGCAATGAAACCTCCACACACGGCTCATGTGGTTTTGAGGCAGGCTAGAAGTAAGGAGAGTTTGGGACTCATATGTAGGTTGCCCAGGGATGGCCCAGACCACTGCACCTGGCCGGGAATGGCCCATGATCCTCCCAATCATTGATAATTGGATGGGAATCACCAGGCTTCTCCCTTCCCATAGATTAGTGTAAGTTTTAAAGTACCTGAAAAAGAGAATCTCTCTCTCTCTCTCTCTCTCTCTCTCTCTCTCTCTCTCTCTGCTGGCAAACTCACCTGTGCCCACCATGCTTCCCTTTGTATTTCCCTTCCCTAACTCCCTAACTTTTAACAGACTCCCTTTACACCCATGTGCCCTGCTGTGGATTCTTCCTGCAGGACACAGATTTGGAAGACTTCTGATCACACACTGCACCAGTGCTGCTAGCAGTTTTGCTCCTCCTCCTCCCACCTCTGTGGAATGGCTCCCCAGCTCCTCACTCCTGTCGCTGCCTGGTGGGGGCTTGGGCAGGGATGAAGGTAGGTGGGGTATTCACAGACTAGGGTCTTGTGAGGGCTGACACTTACCCTGTGACCACTCTTGTGCTCAAGGGGTTGTAACATCAAATACAAATAAAAACTACCAGGGAGAGAGAGAGAGAAAATCAAAGAAAGGAAGAGCTTTTCCCCCTGCATTTTTATTTTTCTCAGGGTCCTGCCAATTAAGTAACTGTCCTAGTCTTCCAACTCATTCCTGATAGGTTTTACTGAACGACTCCAAGAAACTATTTGTCCTCATTAGGGAGTATAGGCACATAAAAAGGGAGATAAATTGCACTTGTCTTTGCTCTTTTGCTTGGGCTTTCCAGTTTTAGCATTTTTAAATCACATTTTTGATGTACTAACATTCTTTAACATTTCTTTGGCAATGAAATAAGCCGTTAGTTTGCAAATTAAAATCTAACATGGTCAAAAGTGATGAATTTTGCTTTTGGCACACAGTTTAGCTACTGTATAGATACTTGCTGACTGCTGGGTTTTTTTTTTTTTTCATTTTTCTTTTATTATTCATATGTGCATACAAGGCTTGGTTCATTTCTCCCCCCTGCCCCCACCCCCTCCCTTACCACCCACTCCACCCCCTCCCGCTCCCCCCACTCAATACCCAGCAGAAACTATTTTGCCCTTATTTCTAATTTTGTTGTAGAGAGAGTATAAGCAATAATAGGAAGGAACAAGGGTTTTGCTGGTTGAGATAAGGATAGCTATACAGGGCATTGACTCACATTGATTTCCTGTGCGTGGGTGTTACCTTCTAGGTTAATTCTTTTTGATCTAACCTTTTCTCTAGTACCTGTTCCCCTTTTCCTATTGGCCTCAGTTGCTTTTAAGGTATCTGCTTTAGTTTCTCTGCGTTAAGGGCAACAAATGCTAGCTAGTTTTTTAGGTGTCTTACCTATCCTCATACCTCCCTTGTGTGCTCTCGCTTTTATCATGTGCTCATAGTCCAATCCCCTTGTTGTGTTTGCCCTTGATCTAATGTCCACATATGAGGGAGAACATACGATTTTTGGTCTTTTGGGCCAGGCTAACCTCACTCAGAATGATGTTCTCCAATTCCATCCATTTACCAGCGAATGATAACATTTCGTTCTTCTTCATGGCTGCATAAAATTCCATTGTGTATAGATACCACATTTTCTTAATCCATTCGTCAGTGCTGGGGCATCTTGGCTGTTTCCATAACTTGGCTATTGTGAATAGTGCCGCAATAAACATGGATGTGCAGGTGCCTCTGGAGTAACAGTCTTTTGGGTATATCCCCAAGAGTGGTATTGCTGGATCAAATGGTAGATTGATGTCTAGCTTTTTAAGTAGCCTCCAAATTTTTTTCCAGAGTGGTTGTACTAGTCTACATTCCCACCAACAGTGTAAGAGGGTTCCTTTTTCCCCGCATCCTCGCCAACACCTGTTGTTGGTGGTGTTGCTGATGATGGCTATTCTAACAGGGGTGAGGTGGAATCTTAGTGTGGTTTTAATTTGCATTTCCTTTATTGCTAGAGATGGTGAGCATTTTTTCATGTGTTTTCTGACCATTTGAATTTCTTCTTTTGAGAAAGTTCTGTTTAGTTCACATGCCCATTTCTTTATTGGTTCATTAGTTTTGGGAGAATTTAGTTTTTTAAGTTCCCTGTATATTCTGGTTATCAGTCCTTTGTCTGATGTATAATTGGCAAATATTTTCTCCCACTCTGTGGGTGTTCTCTTCAGTTTAGAGACCATTTCTTTTGATGAACAGAAGCTTTTTAGTTTTATGAGGTCCCATTTATCTATGCTATCTCTTAGTTGCTGTGCTGCTGGGGTTTCATTGAGAACGTTCTTACCTATACCTACTAACTCCAGAGTATTTCCTACTCTTTCTTGTATCAACTTAAGAGTTTGGGGTCTGATATTAAGATCCTTGATCCATTTTGAGTTAATCTTGGTATAGGGTGATATACATGGATCTAGTTTCAGTTTTTTGCAGACTGCTAACCAGTTTTCCCAGCTGACTGCTGGTTTTTTATGAGCATGGCCTTCCCATGGCTCTTTTTTATTGGAAAAAAATGCAGAGATGTAAAGAAAAAAATAGTCAGTTTTGATGAGATGATTTAT